ACCCACCCCGTCCGATTCAACCATGGCGTGGCTTCATCTAACTCCCCGGCCTGGATGATGGTTTCATGGGCCTGTTGATCTTGCTGCTGATACTCCTCAACCATTTGCACTAACTGGTGAATCCGGTCGGGGTCTTCCACGGGGTCTATGGGGGGGCTCATTGGGATTGGGCTGCACAATATGAATATAATGTGAACCGGGGCCTTGGCTGAATATACGCTGACACGCAACGGCTCGGCTATTGGCGTTAATGGCGGCCTGGATGGCTTTTTCCTGTCTGGGTGTGGGACGACCACGGCTTTGCTGTACACGATACTGATGGGCCTCTATCCAATGTGCCTTCATCGTACGGATCTGGCGGCATGTATATACCTCACATTGCTGGCACAATAATCCATCCTGATAAACGGGTAACTCGGGGATGGGTTGATCAATCTGGCGGGGCCAACTATCCACCTCTGGGTGATCATCAATATGATCCCACTGCTGGATCACTCTGTCGATATACTGTACCCACGAAATGGGTATCCGATGTACGGTACTACTTAAATGGGCCTTGATCTGTCCCCGGCGTACGGCACATTGACATTTCTGGCAAATCAACACGCGAAATTCGGCATTGACACAAAATAATTCGTGGGCCTGGTATTCGGTGTCCATGTCGGATATGGAAATCTATATATCGGCTGGTATTGTATATCTGGGAAATGGGATCAACTCAATGTTGTTCAAATGGACCCAAAATAAAATGGGATGATGATGGGGGATCTGGGAAAACCCCCCTGAAATTTGAAACAAAAAAAAACAAATCCTATGACTAAACTACATATGGTGGTTGTTGATGTTGGTGGGTTTGACTGGTCGCGACCGGCGGCTGGTGGTTACCCCATCAAAAAATCTTGCTACTTTGTGGGGGACAAAATCGATACTGGATATGCTCTGATTGTGCTTAAATTTGGCTATGGAATAAAACTAATACTAAATTAAAATATATCGAAATCTGGAAACTCTACGACATTATTTTGCTAAATTCAATGGGGGTTTGAAATCTAAATTCAATGGGCCCTGGACCCACTTTTTTCCCCCATACTTAACAAAACCCTAAAAAATTCAATGGGCCTCATTGAATTTACCCCCATGGGATAGATATAATTCAAATATATAATAGAGATATATCTAGATAGATATTAAAATAAGTATTTTTCTATAACTACTAATATATAAATTCTAGAGATAATATAAATTAATATTAATATTAAATCCAACTAAAAATAAATTCTAGAATCTATCTAGATTATAGTCCTTAATAAACTAATAAATTATAGAAGAGATTACTACTAAAGACTAGTACTAAAACTTAGATACGATAGGTCCCTAGCTCCAGAGAGTGACTCTTTTACTTAGGTATAGCAGACCCTCGTACGTAGGGGATAAAGGCTAGACTTTAGGAGTAAAGCAAAAACTTAAGATATAAAGTCTAAAATTTAGGAGCTAAGCTAAAATATAGGGTATAATACCTAAGCTTAGATATAATAGGGCTCTAGCCCTAGGGGGTTAAAAACTTACTAAGATATAGCTAACCCCCATATATAGAGACTTGGGTCTAGATATTAGAACTAAAGCTAAGACTTTAGAGAAGCTTTAGAGATCAAACCCAAAATTTGGGAACTAAGCCAGAACTTAGAGAGTAGTACCTAAGTTTAGGTATAACAGATCCCTAGCCCTAGAGGCCTAAATTCTCACTTAGTTATAGCAGACCCTTATACGTTAGGGACAAAGCCCAAATATTGGGATTAAAGCCAAAACCTTAGGAAGTAAAACCTAAGCTTTAGGGATAAAGCCCAAAATTTAGGAACTAAGTTAAAACTTAGTAGGTAATACCTAAGCTTAGGTATAATAGGTCCCTAGTCCTGGGGGGTCAAACTTTCACTTTAGTATAGCAGACTCTCGTACGTAGGGGACAAAGCCTAGACTTTGGGAACTAAGCTAAAACTTTTGGGGTAAAACCTAAGCTTTAGGGGTAAAGCCTAAAATTTGGGAACTAAGCTAAAACTAAGAGAGTAATACCTAAGCTTAGATATGATAGGTCCCTAGCCCTAGGGGGGTTATACTTTTACTTAGGTATAGTAGACCCTCGTACGTAGGGGGTAAAGTCTAGAATTTAGGAATAAAGCTAAAACTTAGGGGGGTAATACCTAAGTTTAGATATAATAGGGTCCTAGTCCTAGAGAGTAAAATATTTATCTAGGTATAGTAGTTATATATATATAGAAACTAAAGTTTAGTTTTAGAAATTAAACTAAAATTTAACAGAGTAAAATCTTAATTTTAGTAATAAAGTCTTAATTTAGAGAATAATACCTAGACTAAGATATTATAGATCTCTATATATTTTAATATAAATCTTAGGGTTAGAAATTATATTAAAACTTTAGAGATATAGTCTAGATTTAGATATAAGAGATCTCTAATTCTAGAAGATAAACTTTTACCTAAAATATAATATACTTCTATATCTAGAAAGTAAAGTTTAAATCTAAATATTCTAAGATTTTATATATCTTAAAAGATTTAGAAGAGATTAGATAAAGAGATAAATATATTTAGGTTTTTTAATAAGAAAAGAAATTATATACTATTTATTATATTTACTAATTTTGTATTAATTACCTTACTTATTCTATAATTCTTTTTATATAGTATCTAGGGTTCTTTATTATAATTAATTCTTTTAATCTAGATATATTATAAATTAAATATTAATTAAGAGTTGTCTAGAATTCTATATAGCTAGAGTTTATATAAATAAACTCTTACTATCTAGATATAAAGATTTATTTAGATAAATCTAGTCTATATAAAAATATAGCTTTACTATAGTAATCTTAATAGTTTTCTAGGATTCTATATAACTAGAGTTTGTATAAAGAAACTCTTATATACTAGATATAAGGATTTATCTAGAGAAACCTAGTCTGTACTAAGGTATAGCTTTACTATAGTAATCTTAATAGTTTTCTAGGATTCTCTACAGCTAGGGTTTATACATAGAAACTCTAACTGTCTGGATATAAAGATTCACCCAGATGAACCTAGCCCGTGCCTTAGTACGGCTTCACTATAGCAATCTCAATAGTTTTCTGGGATTCTGTACGGGCGGGGTTCGTACGAAGAAACTCTCACTATCTGGCTGTCAAGATTTACCTGGACAAACCCAGCCTACACCAAGGTGCGGCTTCACTATGGCAATCTTAATAGTTTTCTGGGATTCTGTACGGCCGGGGTTCGTACGAAGAAACTCTCACTATCTGGCTGTCAAGATTTACCTGGACAAACCCAGCCTACACCAAGGTGCGGCTTCACTATGGCAATCTCAATGGTTTTCCGGGATCCTGTGCGGCCAGGGTTCGTACGAAGAAACTCTCACTGTCTGGATGTGAAGATTCACCTAGACAAACCTAGCCCGTACCAAGGTACAGCTTTACTATGGCAATCTTAATGGTTTTCTGGGATTCTGTATAGCTTAGGTTCGTACAAAGAAACTCTTGCTGTCTGGATGTGAAGATTCACCCGGACGAACCCAGCCCGTGCCTTAGTGCGGCTTCACTATGGCAATCTCAATGGTTTTCCGGGATTCTGTGCGGCCAGGGTTCGTACGAAGAAACTCTCACTAGCTAGATATAAAGATTCACCTAGATAAACCTAGCCCGTGCCTTAGTGCGGCTTCACTATGGCAATCTCAATGGTTTTCTGGGATTCTGCGCAGCCAGGGTTCGTACGAAGAAACTCTTATATACTAGATGTGAGGATTCACCCGGACGAACCCAGCCCGCACCAAGGTGCGGCTTCACTATAGCAATCTCAATAGCTTTCTGGGATTCTGCACGGCCAGGGTTCGTACGAAGAAATCCCAAATTTGATAGTATTCACTATGCAATCTTAACCACCTTGACGACGTAATCGGATACACCCCCTTAGATATAAATACCCTCCCTACCCCCCCACCGAACTTAACTTCTTCACCATCTCTCCTTCTTCTCATCTTCTCTCTCCCATCTTCCACTTCCCACCCCATCCAACATCACCATCTTCTCAACCATCAACTGGCCAACCATGGACACCGACCAAGCCCTCATCCCGTACGAGGCTAGCCAGGTGCTAGTCGGCACAAACCAGTTCCTCGAGCGCCGTGCCACCCACGAGGACAGCCAGGGCCGCATCTACGTCCGAGTCCGTCTCTCCCACCTCGCCAACGAGGCCCTACGCCTCAGCTGTCACACCGCCGTGCAGCGAGAGGTGTGGTCCTTTCCGACGTACGAATTCTGGATCCGTGTGATCAACAACAAGATCGTCATCTCGGCGAACCAGGCAAGTCGCCCGTGGTGTAGTGGTTTGTACGAAGCTGACCATATCTAGATCCGCACTGGCCGCCCTTCCTACATCAACGCGGTGTTGATCGCCTCCCGGGGCATGCTGAACCCGGGGGAGGTGTGTGGGCACTCGACCTCAGGTCGTCCCTTCGGTGGCTGCGTACGACTGCCTGGCTACTTTGGCGGTGCCTGCGCCAACTGCAAGTGGTCGGACCACGCTGCTCGCTGCACCCTCCCTGTTCCAGGTGAGCCCGCCTTTGAACCAGCCACGGTGACCGAGCTGCCTGAGGCCCTGGCGATTGAGCTTCTGGAGGACTAGGCGTACGGGGGATTTTTGAGCTGGCCGGATGGCCGTGTGGAGGTTCCGGGGTTCTGGGTGGTGTCAAAGCGGTGGATGGATTTCTGGGTGTTCTCTTTGTTTTTAGCATTTTTAACGGAATCTGGGTCTCTGGCAGCAGTTGCCAGCAGTAGGAGATAGCAAACAATCACCTCTCCTTCTTACTTTTAAGAATTATGCCGTACGATAGGATAATAAAATTTTGATTGATCTTAGGGCTTCGACAAGCTATGTCACCAAGATATATATTTAACCGGATGATGGTTGACAGAAAGATTCTCCCTGTACGTAACCTATAGATTGACCCGGTGAAACTGCTGCCGTAGATACAAAAAGGCCTCACAGAGCCGGCTCTGTTTTAGTGGTGTATCTGCCCTCTGGGAGAGATATCGTACGAGGTCCTGCTCACTATGAATCTCAGTCCCCAGCTCTCGATACCATGTCTGCAGGATCGACTGGATTTGCTCCTGGATCTCACCCTGGGTCGCCACCCCATACATCATCATCGCCATCATTGGCAAAAGAACGTACGGATACTCACAGGGCCGCTGGCTTGTCCGACGGTCACAGATCGTCTCGGGAAGCCCACAATGAAAGCAGCAGGAGAAGGGTGTGAACCGGATCCGGCTCCGCCATTCAGAGTACCAAGCCTGGGCCTCGGTGCTCTGCGGGCTCGTACAATAAAGTAATTCATGCTCGTCCGGCTGCTGGTTGATCATACAGACCCAGCATCGGAGATTCCACCGCCCTAGCTCTTGTCGGAGATCCTCCTCGGTAGTGGTGTGGGTGTATCGATCCTTGTAGATATGGCTAGTCCGTGTCGTACGGGAGATATCCTGTTGCCGGATGATATGGCGGGCGGTGACTGGGACCGTACGAGGGGGGTCTGGGGTAGATGGAGCCTGAGGGGTAGAGGATCGAGGCGACGGAGACCGGGTGGGGGTTGAGACCGGTGGTGGCTGGCGGGCGTACGGGGGGGTACTTGATGGGTGATAGACCGGTGAGTAGCTCTCGTCGATCTCCATCAGAGGGGGTGGTCTAGATGGCCTGGCCGGTAGATCGATTTCAGCTGGAACGTAAGTGGCTTGTGAATGACCAGAGATATCATAATGGTCGTCCGAATCAGGTACCGGGGCATCAAAGACTGGGGGGTCAGCAGGGTCTAGGGAAGGCGGCAGGGCGGCGGTTATAGCGGGTGGGGAGATCTGCGGGGAGATCAGCCTAGGGGAAAGAGCCTCGTACGGATCACCAGGGGCACAGATCTCACAGGGGATCTCTGCTGCAGGCTCGGGCACCGTACGATCCTGGCAAGAGGTCCGCTCCTGGCCATCGAGATAGCGGTCGAGTAACACCCGGCGACAGGGCGGCTGCTCAGTCGCCAACCACTGCTGGACGATCTTGGCTTCCTCGGGGGGGGGGTCTTCTCTGAATAGACCCACGATGGGGGCTGGGTCATCGTCCGAGGCTGGATCAGAATTGCCTCGCTCGGTTGGCCATCTCGTCCGGCACGGCCGGTCTCCTGGGCGTAGTCAAGAAGACTGTAGGGCCAGCCGATATGGATCACCGTCCGAATATCAGGGATGTCCATGCCCATACCTAGAGCACTGGTCGCTACCAGGATTGCATTGTCCGTACGACGGAAGCGGGCCAGGATCCCCTCCTGGTCCACTTGCTGCCGAGGCGCCCCGGCTATATCGGTCACGACCTTGGAGTAGAAGGCCTCACAGCCTAGAAGCGATGCCAGGAGGGTCACATGTCGTACGAGAGAGGCGTAGACTAGGACCCGGCCAGATCGGGCGTGGCGTCGGCGAGCCTGGATGAAGCGTACGATCTGTGGATCCTGGATCCACTGCTCCAGGCCCTGGCGGGGGAGATCGGTTTCCGGCCGGAAAGAACAGTAGGCGATATTAGGGCGGGTCGTACGGCTGTGATAAAGAAATATATCTTCCCGGGATAAGTGGAGCCGGCGCCAAAATATATCGTGGAGGCTAGGGGGCAGGGTGGCGGTCAGGAAGACTGTTTGTACATTTATCTGCTGGAGACGGCCGATCTGGGCCAGCTCTGGCCGAAAGGTATCACTAGGGTTCAGGACCATATGGCATTCATCGATCACGATCCGATCCAGACGGTGAAGGGTCACCTGGCGGTTTAGGAACGTACGAAAGATATCACTCAGGGCGGACTCGGGGGTGACCAGAACGATCGAGGCTTCATCCGGGGGGTGGTGGCTCTCCCATTCAGTACAGCTGATACCTAGGCTCGTACAATGTCTCTGAAGCTCTTTGCGTAGGGCCACCAGAGGGACCACCACTACAGTCAGGCCTTTGGAGATCCACGCCGGAAGCTGGAATAGAAGACTCTTACCCCCACCGGTGGGCATAACGGCCACAATAGGACTGAAGCCGTGCTGGATCGCCTGGAGGACCTCTAGCTGCTTCTCTTTGAATCGTACGGAAGGGTCACCCAGGAAATGCTGTAATGCTTCCTCCAGGTTACAATTCGCAAATTCATAGCGGCGGGTCACCTGATTCTCCTGCTGCTCGTTCTCCCAGGGGGCATACTTCCGCTTCTTGTTTGGACGCTCAGGGGCCAAGGGGAGATCCGTACGGGGGAAGCCCAGGAAGTGATGCCAGTCCTGACTGATATGGCGGAATATCGTACGGCGATAGGCCATTGTGCCTGGGGCCTCATGGAGCTGGCGGGCGTACGCAAGGCCCGCAACATGAGAGGAGTGACCGGCCTGTAGATCCTGGAAATTCTCATCTGGATTGGTCTCAGGGTCCACAGCCTCGTCGGTCTCTCCGTCATCATTGGCATTCTGGGGGAAAGCACTGCTCGTACGAAGAAATCGGCGGCTAAGGGCAATCGCAATATGCCGCCACGCGGCAATATTCACTATCTGCCCATTGAGGCCGAGACGGGACTCTCGCTGGAGGACCTCCCGAAGCCGATCGGCGGTCCAGGGTCGTTGACTGAGAGGATCGGGGCCCCAGAGTAACGCCGTACGGGCTGTAGTGGGCTGCTGATCCCGAGGGCTGGTCAAGGCGTCGAACCGCTCCACCAAGGGTAGAATAAGCCACAGATATCGTACGAGTAAGGTACCAACGGACCGAGGCAGATATCGATGGATGATCTTTGGGTCGTTGTGGACGTGGAAGCCTTTGTGGTATCGGGTCGCAATCACCACCTGCCCATCCTCGATAAAGATATTCCGGTGGGCATTGGTGGTGTTGCGATGGCGGACGGAGAGGATCTCCGGGGCCCGCGCTGGCTGGCCACCACAGAGGTGGATCAGGACTGCGAGCTTCTCTCGAAAGAGACTCACCTGGGCCAGATATCGCTTAATGGCATTCGTACGGAAGCAGCCATGATCGATGTCCAGAAATCGCTGCTGGAGGACCCGGTCGGAGCGAAGACGCCTCACCAGCCACTGGTCCCCGCAGACCGGCCAGGTCGTACGAGAGTCGTGGAGAAAGCTCCATCCAGGCTTAGACTCTGAGGGATCGTCCATTATCGTCGCCCAGGGGACCAGGGGAGCCTCGGCCTCTGAGGGCAGGAGGAGTAGATCGGACGAGAGAAGATCCTGGCAGGTCTGGACAAGCCCGTGGATCCAGCCACGAAGGTCACCGGTGGTAAAGCTGAGCTGCTTATAGAGAAGGCGATCCGTGCCCACCCAGCCAATATGCCCAGGCTGGGTCGTACTAAAGCTCACCTTCATACCGTACGTACGAAGATCCAAGATCCACTGGAACGGGGAGTTGGTGCCCCGGAGCATAAAGCTCTTCATGATCAACTGGACCCATTCCTGAAAGGTCTTACCCGTACGGCTGCGGAGATGCTGGCTGTATGGGAGCGGGGCCGGGGAGGAGGAGTTGGGGGAGGAGGAGTTGGGGGAGGAGGAGTTGGGGGAGGAGGGGATGGCCGGTGAGGACGGACTCTGGTATCCCTCATCATCGTACGAGCACCGATACTCAGGGTCATCCAGGGGGCTGATCAGGTCAAAATCGGTACTGGTCTCCTCCCCGCGGAAGTGTTGGACGATCTGCTCCGCGTGGGGATCCAGCCAGAGGGCCTGCCCCAGGACCAGAAACCGAGCGAGCTTGATCACCCTAGACAGGATCAGAGGGAAGGAATCAGCAGTATGCCAGCCCGTACGGGACCGGCCTAGCACAGCGAGGGCACAGACTAGAGCACACTCATATTCGTCCGCGCCAATCCGCTGGTTCAGTAGCTCGATACAGAAGTCCAGACAGGCCCGCTCGATAGGTTGGAAGTGGAAGGGCGAGGGTTGAGCTGGTGTAGCCGGAGCCGTACGGTCTTTATCACTCTCATAGGGGTCAGGGGAGGGAGAGCGGGTGGCCAGAGTCCAGAGGTGCTGCCACGCCTTCCGTTGACGGCGGTTGAAGCGATAGTGGGGGTAGGCCGGGTGGGAGGGCTCTGTGGGATACTGCGTACGGGCAAAGAAGCTGACTATCTGCTGCCAGGGGGTGATATGGGCCAGGATCGTCTCCGGGTCCATGTAGGCCTGCAGGGGAGTATGCGGGGACTGATCGATCTCCGTACGAACAATCTCCACCCGGATCAGATGGCCGCAGTGCTTGGCAATCAACTGGGCCGTACGGGCCATACTGACCATTGCCTGGTGGATCTTCCAGAGCGGATCGGACGCATCAGGCTCGGGGGTCTCGGTCAGCGAAGAGAGTATCTCTGGGTGTTGGTCCTTGAGATACTGCGACCACCGTGTACGACGTAGCCATGGAGTAGCCTCATTAAGCTCCACGGTCTCAATCGTACGATCTGAAGGCTGAAAGATCTCCTGGTGCTGCTTTTCTAGTTGGTCAAAGAGCTGGTCAATAGTAGAGGATGCTGACTCTGGCTCTGCTGATTCTGATCGTACGGGGTTAAGCACAGCAAAATAGTGAGAGGTAGGCCCTCGGCGATAGAGACGTTGGCAAGAGACTGAGTGCGTACAATTCTCTAAGAGCTGTTGGGTAGAAGCTGTAGAAATAGCTTGGGCAAGCCATTGGTGGGATGTCCGCCAGTGCTCTTTCATAACCTTGGTCGTACGACAGACATAGTGACAAGTAGGGGTAAATTGGCACTGAATACCATCATGATAAAGGGGAAGGTGAGGAAAAGGTAAAGGGCAGTTAGGGATAGAGTTAGGTGTAAAGGTAGCAAGTAACTGTGGCCAGAGGGTAGGGAGATATTCTTGGATCTGAGAAGCCGTACGAGCAGACAGAGAATGGGAAGAAGAGATTAGATGGGCTATAACTTGGCTGATTCGTACGGCAGATTGACATTTATAACAAATAAGAATAGGTAGAGTAGAAAGAGGAGTAAAGAGCTCCTGGGTAAGGGAGGGAATATTAGTTTCCATGGTAGTGGTTAAATTTGTGTAGTATGTAAAAGTGCTAGGGAAAGTAGCTCATAAAGTAGTGATCTATCTTCAGGGGTCGTACGTAGAATTAAGCTATCACAAAAGTTTTGTGTGGGTCTAAAACCAAAAGGTGGGTCTTCCCGGTCGCACCCCAACAAAATTATTTTAGGGTTTTAGGTGATTTAGGGTTAGCTCGTACGACTGCTATAGTAGACTACAGTGTCTAAGAAGAAAACTGGGTATAAATCTTATACACACTTAGAACTTCTGAAATTCTGAGGTTAATCGTACGAAGGAAATTGCTTGCAGTCTACCCTAGAAAAAGTGGTTGCAGTCTACCCTGTGGGGCGAATTCTGCCCATACTTAAGAACTTCTGACCGCCATGCAGTCAGGTAGACTGCACCAGGTCCCTTGGGTTAGACCACCCAGATCAACCGGGGAAGAATAGAAGAATGAATCAGGCGAAAGATAAATGAAACAAAATAGTCCTCCAATAAGTTGGTCTGACGACCAACAATTGGAGAGATCACAAGAAACGAAAAAAAATTGCCATGTAGATGACTCTACGGTATAGAGTTTTCCGTGTACGATTTCGCACTTGTCTAGCAAGGCGATCCAGTGGTGAGAATGCTCTTAGCCTCCTGGGCATAAGTACATCCGTTACTAACATTTGAGTCGGAGAAACCCGCGGACCACATCATAATTCCGCCAAACGCGGAATTACTCTTGTACTCGCCCACCAAGGTCGCCAGCGCCCTTGGATCAAGGTAGTACTGTGCGCCACTATCCGTGCCTGTAGCTCCGAGGGTGGAGGCAGGCACACCAATGAAAATTTCAGTATTGGAAGATGGAGTTCCAGAAACGTTAGAGACCCAGTCATTGTAATTAATGTTGCCATTCACGGAGCAACCAGGGTTATTGTAAAATTGGACCCAGAGATAATCAAACTGAGAAGTGGTAATAATTTGCTGCATGTTCGGTTCCGGGATAGGGCACTGCGGGGCGCCAGTGATATAGTAGGTATTGGATGAGTCGGAAGCGAACTTGGATCGAAGAGTGCTGATCAGGTACTGGTAATATTGATTTCCATTGGAAGCTTCAATGTCAAAGTCCCAGCCATTAACGAAAGTAGTTCCGAAAGGTCTAGGAACGCTGCTACTGGCAGTGTTGCCATATGCCTCCCAGAGGTTTTGACCGATGGTTTCAGCCTCGGTCTGAGAGGTAAGAGAATAGGCCCCAACAGCGCCACCTAAAGACATGATGACTTTGACACCCTTATTCTGGCATGTTTTGATGGCAGCTCCCAGGTCATCGCAGTTCTGAGGCTCACCAGTAGGTGAGATGTAACAGGACTGGCCAATAGTGCCGGATGCAATGGTGTTTCCGTTGCCGTACTCGTATAGGAAGGCGAGCACAATGATATCAATGCCCGAGGTAGATGTGCAGTAAGTAGAAAGATCGTCGTTTTCAACAGTTCCGCCGCCATTTTGGCCCCAGTAAACCACATTCTGAGGACCAGGTGCACGGCGTTGAAGCGCCTGGAGCTTGTGGGGCACTGCCACCGCGGAACTAGCCAGTAAGCCCAGGCCAAGAAGGATGGCTGAGAATTGCATATTGAGAAGGAATTGTAAGAATTTGGATGTAGAATTAATGGAAAAGCATTGTGGGTAGAGTTCACCTCTGGAAGGAAAGACAAGTAAAGTGTTCTTCGAGAACTAAGGAGTGTCGTGTTGAATTGTTGAAGCTGATGATAGAATGAAATCTATAATCTGGGTGATATTCCGATGCTCTTATAGGCCTTCAATATTCAAGCCCTGGGGTATAAATCCAACATTGGAAACCGGGTCACTTCATGGAGTAGCTGCTCAAGGTAGGATACGCTAGTCGACGTCACCTCATCGGAGAAGTCAAGCACCATTCACAGAGTATCTTAATTTAACCCAGTCAGAGATGACCATTCAGCGATGGATTTTCTTCCTGACGTGACATTCTTTTAGTGAGCCCTGAGATTATGCGGCGCCGTTGACTTATCCTTTGAGGGGGCTAATTTTCAAGATTCAGCATCCTCCTGTTTCAGCATACCCCTACTGTAACATGTGAGTGAACGAGCACTGGATTTAGGGCATAAATGCAACAGTAAAATACACGAACAATCCACGATAACGAGGAAGCATCTATTTATACTTCCAAAAATCTACTGACTTCTATCCTTATGTGACTCGACAAAAACATTATCTCGTAGGAGACGAGATTTGATCATTTGGCGCCCTCTTACTGGAACCAGGGGGTCCAGGTGTTCCCACTACCTTTTCCACCCATCTGTCTACTAAGCTGTATGATAATTTGGACGAGCCTTGGTGGAGTATGGGCTACTTTACCATCCAGAGTCAGCCCTAGGAAGCTATAAGTGCCGTCCGTCTGCAGGGATACGCCATACGTCTGCAGCGCAACCAAACGGCGAATCGCAACAAGCCACCAGATTCCTTGAAGACTCCTAGTGTATATCCCTCTGAATATCTAGCGAATGTGGCTGTTGGCGAGTTATGGGCGTGACCTGGGGTTACCGAAGTTTACTCAATCATTGTCGCGTACCTACATAAGCTCAATATATCCAGTGAAAATCGGACTCAGACAGGTCCATCGAATACTATCGACTCAGGCTTTCAGTGATTAGATAGGTTATATAAATCACCGATCGTAATCATGCAGATAATTAGTTTGGGATGGTATATGAGCTGGTACTGAGGTATGGTGGTAGAGAGATGCTGTAAATGATATAATGCTTGTATGCTAGTTCATTACTTCAAATCGTAGTGGTGTATATGAAATTCTGAAAATCAGATATATTCTTCTTAAACTTAGATTATAAGAATGAACTATTTTAGTATCCATTGGGAATCGGTGAAAATGAAGATCAAGAGCGAAAATTGTATAGTAAGTGGGAAAACGTGTTCGCGCTTGTTTATTCAACAGAAATGGTACTTCCAAGAGATCACATCCCTGATGAGGCGCCTAGGTGAGCGGTAACTTTAATGCTTTAGTATGAAGATCTTTGCAAGAATTGAGACGAGGCTCATACAGAGGTGTTTAGTTGTTTCCTTCGGCAGATTGCTTATACTCCTGATTCGCGCCGCGACCAGCACCGTTGATGTCGCCCTTACTCCCTCGTAGCCAGAATACACCAAGTCCAGCCACAGCCAAGGTCGAGCCTATGATCAATCTGGCGTGCAACCCTAGGGTTAGTCTATATTTTCTTTGCGTGCGCTGTGCAGAGAAATGGGGAACAATATGGGTGATTCGGAGCCCTTACTTCCGCTGCCCGCCTGGCTGCCTCTCGGTTGACTTGTCTTCGATTGAAAACTTCCTCCGGCTACTAGCAGTTATACCTGGAAAGCGAGTAGGTGTTGCTACCGGTCGCAAAAGACTTGGTGTGTGCCGACACATAGATACTGTTCGGATTGATTGTGCCATGTTGGACCAAAGAAGAATGTGAACCCTGGCAAGCAGTTTATTGATATCGATATGCTTTAAATTGGGGTTTCGAGCTTAAAGGATAGGATGAATTCAAAGAATAGGAAAAGGTAAATGATTTACCATCCTCCATGTTCAGATCTCCTACTTATAATAGATGTCATGGCCTCACAATTCAAGTCATGGGCTCTCTGGAATAACTTGAATTGCGATGTAACGTGCTCCATAGGAAAATTACAGCATAATGAGGTATTAAAGAATTTCTATTTCACAAAATAGAGTTTGTGCTTTTCTCGGAGATTTGAGACGCCATGCTATGATCTGAGCTAGGTCGGGGTGCCAGAGGAAATCTGTATTCGGTCAGGAAAGGACAGTTCTAACAAGCCAAAAGCCCCCAGCCAAAAACGGATTGAATATTCATTTTGTGGCAAGAACTTATATGGTCTGGATGTTGTAAGACTATTTAATTATTTTGGAAAGACTGGTTTCTGCATTTTTCGAAATTATTCGGAGTGGTCTAGAGGCGATCGAACGTCATCATGTGTCATAAGAGGAGAAACGTTTATCTCCATACGTGTTGAATTATCTAGTTCTACCGGGAAAATCAGCGAATCATTTTTCAATTTTCAAACGCGATTTCCAACTGCTCATTATGCCCAGATATACGATTGACGGTGGTGTTCATGAATTTCAGGTCGCGGATAGACTCACTTCTCACAATACTAGTGACGAAGGTGGAGCTTGTTTTTGCCATTCCCTAAATACCAGAAAGAAAATTGACCGGATAACACAGGCAACGAACGCGCACAAGAACCACGTACGGAGTCATGAAAGAAGCATTCTGGCCATAAAGGCGGTGCTTCCGGGAACACCGAAAGCTCTGATGGCAAAGAACAAAGAGCAGAATCGACGAATAATGGGTTCCCGCACGAAGACATTGTCGCAAGTTCTCGATTCATGCCTCAATCTGGGAATCCTGCAGGGATCTCTAACACCGAGATGGACGGGTTAGAGCGAGAGGAGATACATGGCGACCAAGCCAGCGAAGAGGTCGCCGCAAGTAATCGTTTCATGCCGCAGGCAGGCAAACGTACGGGAGCATCGTCAATTTAAAGCAGAGAAAATCAAACCGCTAATTCTTTGTTAAGAAACAAGAGTTGCCTATTAGATAGATGATTTTTCACTAATGGTGTAATGGGTGTAATAATGAGTGAGAATAAGTAATTTTTCTGCATTGGATTCTAGGTGATCGCATGAAGTGCAAAGCAAACGAATACAAGTAGGTTTGCTCAGTCCTTGTAATGAACTGCTAGGCACATCCAATTTTCTATTTGGAGAAGGCAGATTATTATCTATGCCATTTTAAGAAACAGAGTAGGTGAGGTCAGGCTGGGGGCATTCCTCTCGTACAGTCAGTGTGGGAGCTATCGGAGCTATGACGGATAAGTATGTTTCTGTGTGAGGCGTTCATGGTGATTTTCGTGGCGCTTTGCTGAAAACCCAAATCCTATCTTAAGAGATCTTAACCCTAACAGAATCGAAACTGAAATCTCTAACTCTATTACAAGTTACTTTTAAACCTTCTCTTAGTGTATCATATTTCTCTAAATCGAAAACATACCTAAGTAGTACAGAAATTCTTCGCAACTTCTTATAATCTTCTATTGGGATAACTTTTCGCTTTGTAACGATCGAAGCCTTCGGTGCCTGTGGCACGTGACCCAGGCAACCGCTCATGTGTAGATAGTTGCGATGGGAGCTTCTCTCCTTCTCTCTTTCTCTTCTTCTCTCTCTCAGCTTAATACCTTCGTTCAATACTACTGCTATCTTTCTGAGCATCTGAGTCCTTACACGCTTCTTGTAGTTTAAGAACTTGAATCATACTGATCCTAATGAGTTATCTACCTAGTATAAACATAGCTTTAATAATCTTAAAATACGATAAATTAACTGTATACTAAGCTACTGCCAGTAGTTCTATACGCATATTATCTTCTAGTAAGACATTGTCTAGTAATGTATGAAATTTCTTAAGTAGTACTACGATACAATAAGCTATACAACTACTATATTCTATTAGGTAGCAGTAATCAGTAAGACTATGCTTTATAGTTGAAATTTATGGAAAGTCTTTCGGCAGGGCTAATATACTTGTTCCATCACACTCGCATCCCAGTGCTCCTTACAATCCTCCTTTTGAAACGGCCATCGGACTTTTAATAGCCCCTATCGATCATCTGGTGGATTTTGTCAGGGAATTGTCGCACACTTCCGCCTTGCAGAGCCTGTCTACAAAGTGAAGCACTGGGCATTGTCCAGTAATACGATCATCTGTTTACCGCCATAGTTCTCTATTGTACACCAGGTATGAAGAGAGAGTCGTGGCTTCAAACGACAGGTAGCTATCTTTCGCAACAGGTCTTTCAATCTTATATGGCCTCCCAGGAGTTATGCGAGTTAGCCATACTAAAATGCCATGTTTCTTCGCGCCATGGTTTATGGCGAAAACTTCACATGAACAAATTGCAAGTCACTTCCACTTTCGCTCTCTGTTCCGTATCAATCCAGCACCTCTCCACTCGGTTTATTACATCATCTTAATGCCCAATCTACTTCGTTACTTTGCCTCAAATGAATGCTATTACGGATAAAATATAACTTGTGATCTAGACAGTCATCTGTTGCTGTGATTCTCGCGTATGATATCTAGTAATCATAATCTTGAGTATAAGCCTTCGGGCATGCTTCTCACGGACTACGATAGGTATTTGAAAAGAATTTGAAAGGATACTAAGAGTCATGGCCCCTCTTTACAGATTTTCATGGTCTCCAATTTGCCTCGGCATGCGGCATCGGGGATTCTCATACGCTAGCCTCCGCTGTTGAGAAGACCAACCCTACTTGCTCAGAATCATAAAATTACTTAATCTACATCTACGGAGGGCTTAGTGTGATATTTCCTTTGCGCAAAGAAAACAGAGGAAAATAGCCAATTTCAAGTGTTCAAGATGATACTGATGATAATATTATATAACACACTTCAATTTCACTCCACCGTCTGGTAAACTAGAGCCACACATGTCCGCTACACCTGCGGACGATTAGTACTAACAGTACCCTTGACCTTTGCGGTTTCCACTTCCCCTTCGCCCTTCTGGCTCTTGCCCGGCTCGTTAATGTGTGGATTCAAGGTGTCTGTGTTGGAAAGGCCCTCCTGCTTAGATGAAATGCTTCCATGGAAACCCTTTTCGCCCACCGCACGAGGCTGACAGGAATTAGCGATCGGATCGCCTGCTATAATAATTGGCTACTCACCTGATCGTAGGGTTCAGAGAATCTAATGTTTGAAGGTTGAACTTGACTAGTTTGATTCACATCTTGGTTTGCTTCCGCACCTTTCACGGGGCCAACCTGTCTGTCTCCCCTAGACATATAGAATGCCAGAGGAATAGTAATAGCAATAGCGACCGGCAACCTATCAATGAAATGAAATTGTTAAGCTTCGACTACTAAAAGTCAAATAAAATCGAGAATTGACTAGTAATTCGCAAAACTCACCAACGAGGCATTCCTTGGCGGGTATGTCCAGTCGAGGCAAACCGTTTTTGGACAGGGAGCTGTCGATGACATGTAGGGGCGGTCTGTGATTTCCAGGGCGAAGCCGGAGAGACACGTGAATGAAAAAGGCTCATGGCGATTGAATGCAAAGCGTCATTAGTACATTGGAAAAGTATTAAAATTTTGAGACATAAGAATTATGGAGCTAATAAATAGCAATGCAGGGTGTAGAAGACCCCAGACAGAGCTTCGGTACAGTTTTGGGTATTACATCATTGCGTCTCCATTTTCAATAGCTCTAGCAAAACTTAACTTCAAAGTAACCAGCAATCAAGAACCAATATTACGGCACCTAATTCTTCTAAACTTGCTATCATCAACCGGGTGACATTCTGTGACGTTATCTACGCATGTGGAGACAGAGGTGGCGATTCCCGGTTGTGCTACCTGGTGTCAGATTTACCGTAAAATTCGTTTTTTTCTCGCTTTCTCATCGGCGGTAAGCTAGGCTTATTGTTAAAATATAGAAATAATGGGTAATTTATCTGGACGCATGGTTGTGAAGGGAATTGGTGAGGGCGAAGGTGCAGGTTGAGCGTTCTAGACTCCTATCTTCAAAGGGAGTCGTAACTGAGCACAGTATATGGTAGACTACTAAAAATTGCTGACTAGGAGATCCAAGACTCAGGTATTTCTCGACGAACATACTAAATGGCGGGAGAGAGCACCTCTCGTTCAAATAAGTATCTGTAACGGCGCAGGCGTCGATGGTATATTCAAAATTTAAAGTCATCAAGCCCGCAGACCACACTATCGGAAAATGAGTAGGCATTCACACCTTTCTTACGATGACTCAAGTATCTATACTTACAAAGGTTGGTGACTCTTGCGCAGTATTTCTACGCACATTGTTTCTGTCAGGTGGATACTAGATATGGCAATAGCAAGGCTACTCTTAGGTTAGACGTAAGTGGGTGCGCTGTTGGTTCGGATTGATCATGATGATGTCAGCGGTGTGCGATCCAAGTATAAACGCCATCGAAAGATGAAAAGCATGATTCACGCGGGGAAACAGGAAAACATCAAATTAAATCTCCAGTAGCAAGAAAGCAATTTTACAAAAGCGACAAACTGCCGAGATTGTAGGAGTTAGACTATCTTGAGTAATATTGTCAATGTGAAAGATACCGATCTTCTTTCAATCATACGCTTGAAATATCACTAAGAATGGCGTTCACGCAAGCAGCAAACGTTGTCGAAAGAATCGTTGGTCATAGTGATAATACCTCAATCACTACCGATGTCAGCAACTATGACAATGAGTATGGCATGGAGACCGGGGACAAAATATTGGCCACAACCTGGCAAGGCAAAAACAAAGTAAAGCTAGGGAATTCAGCAATTATTTCTATTTGAAGTATGACGGTACTCACTCGTTTCTAGTGGAAATGCCAACGCCATCAGTTATCGACCCTGGCGATGTGATCGTTAAAGTGACAGGAAGCACTTTTTGCGGGAGCGACTTACATCTATATCATGGTAAACAAGGATCTATAGCTTCTATATGTTGTCGAAACCTCTTACAGAACGTAGGAGTCATTCCCCAACTGGAGAAAGGTGATGTTCTAGGGCACGAGTGTTGTGGAGTAGTCGAAAGAGTTGGACCAGAAGCCGACCGTGTCGAAGTCGGCCAACGCGTCGTCGTATGATTCCCAATTGCCTGTGGCGACTGTAACAACTGTTGACACGAGCAATACTCTCAATTCGATAGAACAAATGGCAATAAGATTGAGAATGCAATGTATGGAAAGCGAACGGCTGGTAAGTACTCTATTGATTGGCTTTTTCTGGAGCCTTCTTGAATGCGACTAAACAAAAGGTATAGGCATGTTCGGGTATTCGCATTTTACAGTAGGCTTTGCCGGTGGGCAAGCCGAGTATACTCGGGTTCCATACGGCAATGTTAATCTTTTGCACATACCATTAGATGTTCCGGATGAGAAAGCACTTTATTTATCAGATGTGGTTGCCACATCATGGCATTGCGTGGTTGACACCGGTGTCAAGAAGGGTGATGTTGTTGGAATCTGGGGCGCTGGCCCTATTGGGCAGATGTGTGCGGAATTTTCCTTCTTTTACGGAGCCAGTCGTGTGATCTTGATCGATGGCGGCGATGCTGCATGGCGCTTAGATTATGTGAAAACAAAATTGCCGAAGCTTGAAATGATTAGTTTCACTGATCTTCTTCGAGGAAAGTCTGTGACATCGCGAGTGAAGGAACTAGTTACAGGGGGCCTTGATGTGGCTCTGCAATGCGCTGCAGGGGAATATGCTAAAGGTTGGACACACTACTTCGAACAGATGCTTGGGATGGAGACGGATACTTCTGAATTACTCAACTAGATGATTACCTCCGTTCGCCCATTTGGCCGGGTTGGAGTCACAGGTATTTATGCAGGACATGTGAGTAATTCTTCGCGAAGAGCCAGGCGCCAATTTCATCTAACACAAACCAGACCAATCATTTCAGCATTGGGGCTCTTATGGAGACTGATGTTCGGTTAATTGGTAACGGGCAAGCTCCTGTGCACCGGTACTGGAAAGAGTTGATGAATCTTATTCAGAAGGGTGAAATTAACCCACTCAATATGGTATCCCACCGACTTCGTCTTGAACGAATCAAAAAGGTTTATGATGTCTTCGATCGGCGCGAACGAGTGCAGAAGATTTTCTTACAAACCTAACCCGAGGGACCTAGTGCAGCGGGCCTGACTGCAGGGCAGTCAGGATTTCTTAAGTATAGATAGAATTCACCCCACCACCCTGACTATAAGTGATTTTTCCTAGCCTAACTGCGAGCAATTTTTTTTGTACGATTACTTTCAAAATTTGGTAAGTTCTAAGTCTACATATATTCTCTACTATATTTAGATCTTAGAAACCCTAGATATCTATGGTAGTTATACGGGTTAACCCTAAATTATCTAAAACCCTAGGATTTTTTGGTTAGGGTGTGACTAGGATAATCTATCTTAGGGTTTTAGACCTACATCAAAATCTCTGTAAAAGGTACTTTTAAATATACAACCTCTAAATATAACCTTATACTTTGTGGGTTAAATTATAGTACTTTCTACCTATTCCTACTTTTTAACCCTAACTATAGAAGCTAATATCTCTACCCTTATATAAGAGTTTTTTATTCTACTTTATATACTTCCTATTATTATCTGTTATAAGTATTAATATACTATATAAAGTTAGGTTATTATCTATCTAACTTTCTTTACTTATAAGATTTTAGCTAGAAAGACTACTTAGATCTAAGAAGTCCTCCCTACTCTCTAGCCCTAATTACTTAATATCTTTTTGTCTAATCTAATTCCTCCCTGGCTGTAATGGGCTGTCGCCTGAAAGTGACCATGTGACCATAGCCTTCTATATTGCTTTTGCCTGCCTCCTATATTGTCTTAACTGTGTATAAATGTCTCCTTTTCCTTCTCTTTCCCTAAGATTGTTATAAATAGTTTGTAGTCTAGTTGGATTGAATTAATCGGCTTCAGCCCTTTATATATAATAATTTTCTGATACCATATTGTTAAACACTTATGAAAGTGTTTAAAGAGTCTTAAACACGATAAAAGAAAATCTCTAAAGATCATAGAGTATACAATTACCCCTAAATATAAAAGATACTTAGGGACAACAATAAACTAATAGGCACGGAAGCCCTAACTTATCTAAATAAAGATAAAATACTAATAGTCACTAAAATACACAAATAGCTAGTATAGAAATAAATAAAATACTAGTTTAGATATAAGTTTTTGTTGAATAGCTCTTAAACTATTGCTACTAAATTACAGACTAATAGATTTAATAGAACGAATGATTTCTTTAAATTAAAGAATAACTTTCTTATTAAAGTACCCTAGTAATTAGTAATAGATCTATTCTAAATCTCTCTAATAGGGCTATAATAACTTCTCTTTCTTCTGAATATATCTAGTTAAAGGATCCAACTATAACTTAGTTAAAGATATAACTAAGATATAGTTAAGAGTGTACTAAAAAAGATATTCTAAATATAAGGATAATTATACCTATTTAGGTTAATATATCCAGAACCCCGAGGTCGCCTAAACCTATACAAAATACGATCTAAGGTTGTCTAAACTTACTCTCCAAATAAGAGAGGTATTAATAGCAAAAGAATATAGTACTATTATAAAGAAGCTATTGGATATATATAGGGCCTACAGCCCCCAGAAAAATCTAGGAGAATTATCATCTTTAATTATTCTGAACACCATCTCTGAGACTTTGTATGTCTCAATAGGCTTAGGGAAGGTTGGATAAAGAAGAAGATTGGTGTTTGCAATGTTTGCTGATATTGTATTGATTGTCTTGCTTTTCTATTGTTCTATGGGCAAGAAGGTCCTATATGTATATCAAGTATTATAGCTAGACCTAGTTTGTATTGTCATAACCACCCTATTCGTTATAGGTAGGTTTAGGCGATGTATAGGCACCGTAGGCGGGGTATCGGTGAGCTGAGGTGCCAATACGGGCGCCATAAGCGGGGTATCGGTGAGCTGAGGTGCCCGTACGGGCACCATTTAGGCATCAGCATAAGTGCCACTCAGGTGTCAGCACGGGTGTCACTCAGCCGTCAGCATAGGTGCCACTCAGCTGTCAGTATGGGTGCCACTCAGCTGTCAGCACGGGTGCCACTCAGCCGTCGGTATAGGTGCCGCTCAGCCGTCGGTATGGGTGCCGCTCGGCTATCGGTATGGGCGCCGCTCGGCCATCGGCATGGGCGCCGCTCGGTCGTCGGCATAGGTGCCACTTAGGTGTCACCTGTCGGTTATTATAGCCGGAGCTTTGGCGTATTTGGTGTTATAGTATAATATTCATAAAAGTACGTAGGAAAGTAGCTTATAAAGTAATAATCTATCTTTAGGGATTATATATAGAATTAAGCTATTACAAAAGTTTTGTATAGATCTAAAACCAAAAAGTAGATCTTCCCAGTTATACCCCAACAAAACTATTCTAGGGTTTTAGGTAATTTAGGGTTAACTCTTATAACTACTATAGTAGACTATAGTATCTAACAAGAAAACTAAGTATAGATCTTATATACACTTAGAACTTCTAAAATTCTAAGGTTAATCATATAAAGGAAATTACTTATAGTCTACCCTAGAAAAAGTAATTACAGTCTACCCTATAGGGTGAATTCTGCCTATACTTAAGAACTTCTGACCGCCATGTAGTCAGGTAGACTGCACTAGGTCCCTTGGGTTAGTGTATTAGTCTTTTTAGGTACTTTACATTTAATTTTTTATGCTTAGGTAGTATCTAGTCTGACTTAGAAACAGCCTAGTCAGTTTTACTATAGGCTTGGTGTTAGGGTTTAAGATAAACCCTAAACCCTAAAGTAAAGTAGGGAAGCCTATTTATTTGTAAAGAGGTTTCTTTATATTATTCTTTAAGAGCTTTTTGTAATTTGATCTTTCTTGCTATTATATCTATACTAGGATTCTTATATAGCTGTAATAGGAACGTACTAGCTTTGTAAGGGATATATATTACCTTATACCTGTATCATCATTCTGACGAGATCCATCTATTTTGTAATATTAGTGGAGTAAGACAATACACTAGTAGCTTGGCAGTGGGGCCCGAGAAAAGAAAGGGCTGTCATCAGGGTAGAAGCCGTTTTCGCTACTGGCAGTACGGTTTGTAATCACCACGGGCCGACTTGACGCCACTTAAGCATATCGACCAATATAGATTAACCCTACCCCGACCCAACCCCAATCTAATCCCCACTATATACCTTGTGCCAGAGACGGTAGACGCGCTTCAATTTCCGAGGATAGGATATTGAACACTTGGAGAAGCGCCTTCAAGCAAGTCTACTTACTAAACACTAACCCACAAGGACTCGCTAAGATATTGATATCTGAGATGACATAAACGGAAAGGAATCTTGTATAGGCTCCAAGGAGGCACAGCATTAGCTAAGGCATGTAAATTTAGATCAGCGATAGTTGCCCTTTCGGTTCAGCCGCCGGGCGTTAATAAATTGTGTGTGTGTGTGTGTGTGTGTGTGTGTGTACTGTAATAGAATGGTCCGTCATCCCAGCTATCTAGAGTATATCGAGCCTATGGTTCGACAGATTGAGTGTCCGAACTTGAAACAGTCATCTTCCATAGCTTGAGGCAGCCAAATTCTGAGTGACTATGTTACTTAATTAAAATATATCGTTTATCTTTGCTACTGCGCCAAGAGATACGGTACCATCTTCTTTGATATCAGAAAACAATAGGCTGCAGAAAGGTTTCTTGGGCAGCTATCCCTCTAGCTACCAAATATAAACTAGTTCCGTCTTGCTATATGTAAAAATGCCAGAAAAAAGGTCCCCTATGAATTCAGAAACTTCCTGACGACAGAAAAGAATTCAACCGGCTTTTCTAGCCAAGGTAAATGTCCAGCCTCCTCGATAAATGCCAATTCTGCCTTGCCGCCAAGTTCGTGGGCTACTTTCCTGGCGGCAGCTTCTGAACATATTCCATCGTCCCTCCCATTTATGACAAGTGTCCTAGCCTGAACCTTCGACAACCCTTCAACGGCGGAGAATTTCATATTACTGTCGCATCTGTTCTGGTTCACGAAGTTCCAAAGCGAGAGGGATCCGTCTTTTAGTGCATCGGCTAGTAAATAAGTCTTCTTTGTGTCGTGCATATAGTAAGGCAGTACTGAGTGTAATACCTCCGCAAACTCAACATCGGTTGAGGGGGGCTGCTGCATCAACTTAAAGATATTCTTCAATGCCGGTCCATACACAGGATGATCCTGACGAGCAGCAGCGTAGGTTTGGAAGTTATCAGAGTTGAAACCTTGCAGTTCGTGATTGATCAGCACTAGCTTCTCAACTTTATCCGGAAAGTCCTCTGCGTATACTAGGATGATGGCACCACCGTTGGAGTGACCGAGGAGTCGCAGTTTCTCCTGTCCTAGGTGGATACGTAGCGAATCCAAGTCCGAACCCATGACCCTTGAGCTCATTCCATCAGCTGACGATGGACGAGAGGTACCCCCACTTCCGCGCGCCTCAAAGTATAGCACTGTGAAGTCCTCTTCTAGTTCCTTCACGGTGTTCGAGTATAGATGCATTGACGGTCCCCACCCGACACCCTGAAAAATAACCAGGGGACCGTGGCCACGGATCAGGTAGTTAAAGGTGATTCCACTGGGAGCAGTGAACTGGTGTGATCCGAGTACCAAGTTATATGGGATCATTTTGCAAGTGAAAGTGCAAGTGAAAGTGCAAGTGAAAGTAGATTGTTGAATTGAAAACGTGAGCCGACGCCTTCAGAGATATGGAGAGTGGAAGGATGCCAAATCTATCCATATGTGAATCATAGACCCTGCTCCATATGTGCTAGCAAGCTGGAAGGTCAAGAAGAAGAAGGAATTATCAAAGTATTTATAATATCAGCTCCAGCCGCATAGTAACTTTATTAACGTCATTCCCGACCGACCAAGCCAACCGGCCTTTCTGGCGCCTGAAAACACTGCAATAATTGTTATATCTCACAACTTTATATTTTAACACTCAAGGCTATTTATATGACATTGGGGTATTTTGATATTAAAAACATCATATTAGATATTTTACAAACTCGGGCATGATAATGTAGAAAGATTCATCTACGTCGGTTGATCGGAGGGTAATTGTTAAAGTGAATGAATGAATATTTTCTGAATATACTTGTTATGCTTTACCATTTCTAGTGCTAGGAAGTCATGTCTTACCTATCCCCTTTCCAGTTTGGGAAAGTGGAGATTTCTTTTCTGGTCTCGGTGAATTGGTATCTTTTAGGCCGCATCACTAGGATGACTACCACATTAGCTTTTTCATAGTTTCAGGCTACCGCCTGAAACCCCACGAATCGGACATATGCCCATGGCCTTTATATAAATATCCCTTGCCTTGACCGGAGCAGTAATATTCGCTCTTAGTTCCCTTTATTCCGCCCACATGCCAAGGGGATCAGCATTCATCCTGCATGGGGTACCCGAGATCACAGTGGGATCCTAGCGATCTAATCCCTGCCGACCTTTGGTGGCTATTATTTGACATTGACTTCCATGTGTAGGGATATCTGTCTTTTGCTGGGAACACCACTAGTCAGCAAGAATATCAGCGTCCACTACTGTAGCTTAAATTTTTGTAATTGAAAGGCTCAATAGCTGCCAACTTTTTTGTTCTTCGGGATCGAGCTGGAGCGAATCAGTTCTCAAATCGTCATTCCGTGTGGTCCACAGACTATCGATGACCAGGGTGTTTGCTCCACCAATTTTTCCCTGTCCGGTAATTGGGCCATATTCACTATAGAGTTAGTATCCTACGAGGGACGCAGAATAAGGAGGAAAGTGGGGCGAACTGAGCTGACCCACTGGACCATCCTCCTTCCATATACAGTCAATCGGCAGCCAGGAGAGCAGCATTGCGATGTTGAGTACTAAAATATTTACGCCACTCGCTTACTCGCAGGCGAATTGAGTTTTTGGATAATGATGGTTTCGCATGGAGTGCAGCAGTGACCATAAGAGTTTCGTAGCAGTGCTCCACGTATTATTTCTACTGTCAGAAGATAATGTAATAATGTGTGTGGGTCTGTAAGTTCTTGTGAATACTTTTATGTGCTGAATTGACTTAATGCAAATGCCAAATCAGAAAGGAATAGAGCAAGCGAATGTTTGACGGTACATCATTCTACAGAAGCCAATCCCGAAGTAGAGATTGGGACGACTTGGCGTCAGCAGCCACAGGTGCGGTACTGTAACATCACCGATTCATTACTTATTAATCTCTTGGGCCTCTAACGTAATCCCCGGCTGTTCGGAACACCAACCTCTATTTGAAAAAAATTAAATCAATTATCTCAACCAACACCTATTAATTCAACTAAATATAGCGATATTTACATACATTAATTCTGTGACCAATCTCCCTGCAACCGCTTCACCTAGGCGGGGCCCTAGTACGTAGTAGATTTCCCTGACTAGGTAGCTACCGCGCGCAGCGAGTAGAATATTGGCCATTTCGGCTACAGTAGCTGGCCTAGGGGCTGCTCCACGTGTATCCATAGAGATAATCCATTCAACAAGCGAATCCTCTTCGTATTGGGTCAATTTATAGCCAGGGTGGCGTTTTTCTTCGCGTGAGGATTGACCGTGTAAGCGCGAATGTAGTGTTGTGAGCGGTATTTCGTATAGCTTTGCTGCTGCGCGGAGAGACTTGATACGGCCATTTTTAATATCATTAAGAGCTAATAAGATCTTGCCCTCCTGGTTGGCCGATTTCTGCCGAGACTCAGAGCGAATTGGTGGCAAGGTGGTTCGTTGAAGAAGGTAGGTAGGTAGAAAAACGCGATTTTGGATGGGGTGTTCCGAACAGCCGGGGATTACGTTAGTTAACTAACTAGTGTAAGATGGCAATGCTCGCTGGCAGTCTGCGTTGGCAGACGGGTCGATTGCAAGAGGACAAAACAACCACACTCGTAGAGTGCAGGAGAGTAGTAGACAAAGCGAGACGCTGTAGAAGAACGATAGAACGAATAAAAGAACCCTTCATGAGCGATATATCGATACCGCAAACTCAGCAGCCTCAGTAGAACATTTCATAAAGGGGAACATTGCATGATTGTTATTGATACTATGGAACAAACGCTACTTATCTTCCTGAAACTAAACTGCTTCCTTGTTGCTAAGGCCTCAGTCACATGACTCTGGGGTTCCGATGTTGAGAGCAGAATCCCCCATTACGCTAGGTAAATTGCTTTGGACCAAGTAGTTGGATGCTAGATTCAGCAGTTTACGACACCTGTCTAGTATTAGGCGGTGGTTCGATGGTAAATTCAGCAGTCTCAGGCATTATGTTGCTCGGAACATCGATATGTAAGAATCTGTGGCGAAGGAGGCCTTCCAGCTGAATTTGTGAAAGCGTAGAAAGGAGTGTCGACAAGAGCAGCGGGAGAAAATTGAACTCTGTTGTGGTATGGGATTTTTGCAATCAGGGTCACGCCACACCGTGGTTTTATCTGCCTATTATCGCGTACGAATTATGGTTGAACGTATTCTGCTGTGACAAGGTAAAATTCACGGTTGAATGAACATGAGTGATTCTGCGGTTACTGTAGACTAGATGGCCGGCGACGACTCTCACCTCCTTGTGGTGCCGGCTGGGAACCTGTGAATACCTTGACTGGGTGGTATTTGCAGAGCTAAGAAGAGTCACTACCGGCCAGCATTATCCGCTGGCTAGGGCTGCAGCTGGAGCAAGAGCTCAGGGGTCAGGGGCCCTGACTTAAGGAAATAGACAGCAAGCGACATCAAACTTAATGCCTCTAGTATCAATTTTGCTCCGCAACAATAGTATAGGTTAACGAGAAATAAAAAATTGGCAGTCGAAATTGCCGGATTTATCACTCCACATAGGCACACAGATATATGCGACTCAGACCTCGACCTTGTGCGGAACCCGAAAGACAACGATAACGAAGTTAACAAAATTTAACGATAGATTGATGAGATATATGGTTGTGATTAGTGAATATAATGAAATAATTGGATCACTCTTGTATAACTTCCCGTGGTGATGAAATACTGACTTACGTTGGCGAGTGTTGAAATATGCCGTTGGCCTTTTTCTCTGACACCGCTGTGAGTGTTGAAACGGTGCAAACGGCGAGGAAGAGTCTTGATATAATCAACTATCAAGAAAAACCCGTGATGCCTCTGAATGTTGCGTTATATCAGTAACTAAATGTTGAGTGAGCTATAAGTTGAGGGTCAGCTATTTTGAGTCCTTCAAAATTCTGATTATTACAGTGAAGCAAGGGCAATGGCTAGGTACAATACTAGTACCCGAACTTTCGTCTGTAGAATAATCTTTCTTAAGACTCCCTTGTCATCTTGGAGCAAAGAATATCAAACATATCTTAAGTTGCCAGGAACTCTTCGGTTCAGACTGTCTTAAACTGTAATACGCTTATATTGGACTGACCGGCTCTATCGTCACTAGCTGTTTATATATGATATTGAATCTTATGGACCAAAGGTAAGTAGAGGCAGACCTATTCTTTTACATTATACTAATATAGAAGGGGCTTTGTATAGCCACTTCTCGGCTATTCCTCGATTAACAGACCTTGACGATTTTGGAAAGTGTCCGGCTGTAAAGACAGTAGGCCGTAAAGAACATCCTTAAGCCAGCTATTAGTGGTATATAATAGATTAAGACCATTAACTATATATAGTAGTAGGTGGTAAGGTTAGTGAGTTATTGAGGAAGTTTCCAGTGTGAACGCTATACTGATAACTCACTTTATAGGGAGCCAACCGTTTAATATGACCTAGTATAAGTCTGTTCAGTTAGCCTATGTATTCTTACTCCTAATTTCCTGTGTACTTATTCCTAAAAAGACAGATCTGATATATTATTCTTGCTGCAAGAATAATTTTAACCAATGTAACGGAATCTAACTCCTAGAGTCCTTCTAACCAGGTCTAGTTAAACTAAACTTAACTAAACTTAATATCGATGGCTAGGCTACTGTTTTAGCTGAAACCCCTATCTTGCTTGATATCTTCAGCAGGCATAATCTGAAAGGTCTGATACCTCTTGATTTGTGATCTGTTAGTATTCTAATGTCTGTTTATCTCTCTAGTGGTGTTCTATCTGATTGGAGATTGAATGTCACTATATTAGGAACTTGGAATCTCTTGTTTGACGTCCAATCTGAAGCTTTATCGGCAGCTGTGAGCTAACCCCATGCTAGATCGAGCGAGCGATCGCAGTATTTATGACAATAAAGATGATCTGAGCATTGATCACTACTGAAAATGATAATAGCTTTTATAGAATTACAGTAAGCCAGGCTGCAGCACTAAAACTACCCAGGGTATTTGCTGCAAAAGCAGTTGTTTTAGGTCAGTTCATTGCTTATTCTTGACTGAATATTATAAATCTCCCCTCTAGTGGTACTTTATTCTGACCCCTTAACCTTTGAAGATTTTTCCTATTACACAAATAGTATAGATAGAACAGCTAGACTGGAAGATATTACCAACATCTATTCTCTGTAGTATAGATCTTATACCTTTGAGTATATATTATCGAGCTAATACCTACTACCTTGTCCTGATTTGACTATATTGGTGCCGGACTAGATTAATAGCAAGTATATAGCTTCTTTATTTATCGGAAATCATACTGATATAAAGGGGTAGTG